ACACATGTGCATACACACACCACACCAGCAGGCATGCATGTACACACTCACGCATGTCCACAGGTACACATACACACATGTACACACATGTGCACTCGCACACCTGTACGCACTCACACGTCAGCAGGCACACATACACACATGCACACACACGCACATGCTCTCGCACACACAAGCAGTGAAGCTGACCAGACCGGGATGAGATGGGTGAGCCGGACTTGTGAGCTGTTCACACAGGGGAAGCTGGGTCGGGGTGCCCGGTGAGCCCACTCTGTAGTACTCCTCACAACCACCTGAATCCACGGCTCCACAACAGCGTACAAGGACCCATGGCTGGGGCCCCATCACCCACTTCTCCTCCAGCCAGGTCTTTCTAAATGGTTGTTTTTTAAAGAAGATAATTGCCACGGCCAATGTATGTCACCCCATAAGCCAGGGCAGAAGAGCCGTTGTGTTCCCCTCCAAGCTGGATACGCACCCAGGTGCCCACAGATCCAAGTCCCAGACTCCACAGGCATCTTCAGAGAGCTGGCTGGCTAGAGGCACGCCCTCATCACCTCAGGTTCATATGCTGTCTAGGGGGCTGACTACTGCGAGCCCACAGGGACCTCCCTCCACCCACAACCTGCAACCTGCAACCCACGCCGCCTTCTCACCGGTACAGCTGGAAGTCCTCTTCCGAGAAGACAGTTTGTATTTTATCACCAAAGTACCTGTGGAAAAATAAGTCTTAACAAATACGATACTTTATTCAGCTTTTCCTTATTAGCTCTAAATCCAGTCTTTCCTTCAGATAACAGGCGGTTCTCGTTAAGTGCCGCTGAGTCGGTTCCAACCCATAGTGACCCTGTATAGGGTTTCTGAGGAGCAGCTGGTGAGCTTGAACTCAAAGTCTCTAAAAATCAGCTTGTCCTTTTTATCTGACAGCTATTCTGTTTCTATAACAACACCTATGTATAAAAAGTTAGACGAAAAGAGAAGGGAAGGAGACTAGCATCGTTTCCCTAGGAGGCGGAGGGCACCGTTTACCAGGAAGGGGGCAATCCCGCTGTGTTCTCAGTCCCTGAGGAGACTCATAGACCGCCCTCTGCAGGCTCCCATTCTCCTGCCCTGATGCCCAGGGTCTGTGAGCAGGCTTCACCAAGGTCCCCAGGGCAGGGGGACACATCCCAGCACTCGACATTCCCTCTTACTATAGCAAAGCTCACGTCCTAATCTACCTGCAACAGGTGTTGACAGCAGCCCGCCCCAGCTCTCACCTGTACAGGTTCACGAAGTGCTTTCCCACGGAGAGGGCCCCCGAGTGCAGGTCCAGAATGGACGCCTGGAAGAAGGGCACCGTGAGTGAGACGGTAGCAGCCTGGTCCCTGCCACCTCCCCGACACTTCCCACCAATGGGCCTCTGTCCTTCCCTGTGGCCTAGCAACCCTCTCATTTGCATCGTGATAAAAACTCACAGCAAACAAGAGACAAAGGGAATGTCTTGATTCTACCAGAGTCTGCAGTGAGCATCACACTGAATGTGAAACCATTACAATTCAGGGAAAACGCAGACTGCTCATCACCAAGCTGTTTGTCATCAAGGTTATTCAAAATCACAAAGAAGCCCTCATCAGAGAAGTAAGGACAAGAGCCACAAAGAGAGGTATAAGAATTTGACAGGAGAAAGAAAATTGTCATTATTCACAGATCACAGGAAACCTGGAAGAATCCACAGATAAAGTATTAGGGTGAATAGGAGAGTTCGGCCAAGTGGCCAGTGACAACATCAACATTGAAAAGCTGTCAGAATCCCATACACCACCAGCAAATGGCAAAACTATAATTTAATAATGAGAAAAACTTTATGGAGGTAAAAAGGTGACCTGAATCCATACATTAAAAATTCTTACCAGAAAGATAATCTCCAGGATTTATCATAGTAAAACTATACTTTAAAAGTGTAGGAAAAACTCAGCATGTGGAGGAGAAAAGATGAAGACACTGATTAGATCACCAAAGTCCAGCTGGTCTCCAGTTTCTCTAGCAACATTATGTGAAGTACAAGATAGGATAGTGGGGCAACATAAGCAAAGAAGCCAGAATTTTCTCTCTGCCAAAGGTCCTTCAAGTGAACAGTTCTGAATCCGCAGGAACTCAAGTCCTTCTTGAGGAAACTACTAAAGGAGGAGTAAGTTCATCTGCAACCCACGTCTGGTAAAGGTTCGGCAGAAGGACTGGCAGATGTCGCACGGTCCGTATTTGTTTTCTGTTTGTAGCTAAGATCAAACCAAGAATAGGAAAATACGTAGAACACAAACATGTTCAAAAAAAGTAGAAACAACGCAACTAAAAAAATATGGTCAAAGCAAGAGGGGGACCAGAAAAGCTGGAGTAAAGATTATTGAGTGTACTACTGGGTTTCAAGGTCAGCAGTTCAAGGCCACAGCCACTCCGTGGGAAAAAGATGAGGCCGTCTGCTTCCATGAACATGGACACCCTGAGGAACCCTCTCTAGGACTGCTGAAAAGACAAGACTCGTTCAGGATGTTTGACGGTTAGGATAGCTGCAGTGAAGATACAAGTAGCAGCTCCAGCTCTGAAGAGAGTGAAGAAGAAGTTGCTCCTTTGCCTTCTAATCTCCCAATTATCAACAACAACCCAGACGGTAAATCTGGTACGGCTACCCGCGAGAGTGTGGGATGGATGGATGGGGTGCAAGATGAGATGCCTATTACTCTAAAACAAAATGTTTCTGCAGCATATCATGTTCAAGAAGTTACTCATCAAACTCCAAGAAGGCAAGCATTTTGGCCAGACTTCAGGTGACGGGTAGGCCTCCAACAAAGAAAGCTAACGTTCTTCAGAAACAGCCTTTAGTTGCTAAATTAGCAGCCTATGCTCGGTGTCAAGCTACCTTGCAAAATCAAAGACAAAAGCAGCGGTGTCCACGGGAGGTGTCACCTGGATAACTACATCAATAGCAATAGCTTTGTAGCCACTTTGGTTACCTGTTTTAAACCTGCACCTATGGGAACCTGCTGGGGTGGTAGCTCAGAAAATGTGAGAGTAGCAGTTTCTAATACAGACTACAGCTTACCTACCAAAGTCTTCTGGATTGCTGGAATTGTAAAGCTAGCAGGTGACAACAATAAACAGTAATTTACTGGGGAATGCCAATGATGTTGGTAACCTTTTATAAGAAAACTTTTTTTTTTAAGCACTACCAAATAAATAATATATTACGACAATAGGGCACGGGTTGGCATACTTATTCTGTAAAGGGTCAGAGAGGAAATATTTTCAGCCTTAAAGACCATATGTTATATGAACTCTGTCAAAACTAAATTGTACCGTTGTATGGTGAAAGCAGCTGTAGCGATACATAAATGAACGGTGTGCCTATAGTCCCATAATTTGGCCAGATTTGGCCTGGTGGTTAGAGTAGTAGGGAAATGTTTCAAATAGTAATAAAAAGTTGAGGTACTGAAAAAAGTGATAATGTCCATGATACCAAGAATAAACAAGTGTTGATAATTTCCTATAAAAAAACAAAACAAAGAAAAACACTATAATTTAAGAAATCCTATCACTATTACAAGGAGCTCTGGTAGCGTAGTGGTTATGAATCGGGCTGCACACTGCAGGGTCAGCAGTTTGAAACTACCAGCTGTTCCGTGGGAGAAAGATGAGGATTTCTGCTCCCGTAAGGATTTACAGCCTCAGAAACCCTATACAGGGTCGCTATGGGTCGGAACCGACTCCACGGCACATAACAACAACATCACTATTACAGGAATTAAAGGAGCTCTGGTAGGTAGTGGGTTACGCGTTGGGCTGCCAGCCGCAAAATCAGCAGTTTGAATCCACCAGCTGCTCTGTGAGAATAAGATGAGGTTTTCAGCTCCCATAAAGATTTTCAGCCTCGGAAACCCCACACAGGGTCACTATGAGTCAGAACCAACTTCACAGCACATCACCACTACAGAAATAAAAATTAAACAAAATACACCTTACCAAAAATGTTCACGTCCTTTACAGAGAAAAGCATGAACTTTCTGAATAAATGGGCTCTGGTTAGTGAAGATGCAGAACACGTTCGGGGCTGTCAGAGTCTGGTTTCTCCCTGTGTTGGCTGTAGATACAGCACAATTCCAATGCTAACAGGGCATTCTGTGGGACGCACACACTTACTCTACATTTATATGATAACACAAAGGGCCAAAAGAGCCCACAGGATTCTGGGGAAAAATGAACAATGTGTGGGGATAGGCCTAGCAAAAATGAGAACTTATCATAACGCAATGGCAGGTAAGGCAGGTGAGAGGAGGGAGAAATGAACCAGAGACAAACACGGAGCCTAGAAGCAGAGCCCACACAATGGAAAGGACAGACCCTTCCTTAAATGGTTTTGAGAAAACAGATGGTTTAAGTGAGACTGGAACTCTATCTCATTCTAGATACAAAAATCACCTGACAAAAAGCGGACGTATCCACTGAGATGCCAAAAGCGCAAACTGGAGAGGAGAGGTCAGAGACTCAAAGTCTCTCAAGTGTTGGGAGCTTCTGGTCATCATCAGGAGCAATCAAAAGAGTAAGACAAGGCCCAGGGTGGGAGGAGATGCTTTAACACACACAACCAACAAAGGTCAGAACCTAAAAGAACTGCTTAAAAGCAACATAAACCGCAATCTGAGAAACAGGCAAAGAATATCTCACCAAAATCAGAAGCAGGATGGCCACCAAGCTTGGGGAAGCCGGTCCAACTCAAGGCAACACAGGAAAAACACACCAGATCTAAAGGTAGCCGGCGCTCATGCCCACCAGATGGGGTGAAGCATCAGCAACACATTCTCTGCAGCTGAGTGTCTGGACCCAAGTTGGGTTTCATAAAGGTGAGTGAACGCAGGGGCATCTAAGCTGGCCGATTCAGCACAAGGTGACACCAGAAACAAGGTTGAGCCAAGTGCTGAAGACAGGTCTGCATTTAGGAGGTTTTAAGGCGCTCTGGTAGCAGACTGATAACTTCACAGTCAGCAGTTTGAAACTACCAGCCATTCCACGGGAGAAAAATATGGCTTTCTGCTCCTGTAAAGATTTCCAGCCTCAGAAGCCCTAAGCAGGGTCGCTATGAGTCAGAACGGACTCCATGGCACATAACCACCACCACCACATAAATATCCCCCTGGACTGAACCCAACTGAAATAAAAGACGCTGGGTTTTCAGAACTCAAGAGAAGTTCAGGTTCCGAATAAATGCAGTCATGAAGAGAATCAGAAATACAAGGGACTTCTAAAAGTTCATGAAAAAATGGAATGAAAAGATAATAGAATTTTCCCACATAGTTTGTGAAGCCCCTTCATACTTTCTGAACTTGTAGTGAAGTTTATAATCAGTCTCCTCAGAAGCTTCCAGGGTGTGGGTGGCTTGGATCCATGAGGTGGCTAGAACTTGGACGTAATCCCTGAGGGATGAGAGCACCTCACCACACAGCTCCATTGGCAGTGTGTGACCAAAGGCAGGACAAGCAGACCAGACAGACCTCTCCCTGTCCCGGGACTGCATACTGAATACAAACGGGACCTGGACCAGCTGGCTGTGAAGGGCCCAGAAGCAGCTTAGCACTTCTAAGGGTCTTCCTAGGAGGACACTTTTCTTCCTACTGAGGCCTTGAGGGTCCGAGTCACTGGGGTCAGTGCTGCGGTAAAGGCCGTGGGGGATGATGGGGCAGAGCCTGCTCCTCTATGTCCCTCCCCTCAACATGAGTGCAGAGCTGAGCGAGAAAAGGAAGGAAGGAAGTAGATACACTCACCCCACCGTCGGATCCTCCCAGGGACAAGCCCTTCTCGGCTATGCTGCAGGGAGAGAGGTCACATCAGAACGGAGGTGTCGCTTGTGGTGCATCGAGGCAAGCCTCAGTCAGCACAGTTAACATGTAGGTACCTGCTGGCCTAAGGTCATGACACGAGCACATGTTCACAACAGAGGACTCAACATTCACATGTGCTGTGGTTCAGAGAAAACGGGCCTCAATGTCTCCCAGAGAGCCCTCGGGTGGCTCTGTGATGCTGGCCTCCTGGCTCTCACACGCTGCCTGAGGAGGACATGTCAGCTACCTGGTCCCCGTGCGGTGAAGACACCTGGGGCTGACCGCTGGGACATGACAGGACCCTCCACACCTCAGCAAAAAGGTGCCCCGGGGACGGCCAGATTCCCCACTTACATGGGCACAGTCATAACAGAAACAGAAACTTTCCTGATGGGTCTCCACACAATACCAGGTGGAGGACACATGTTGGCCCTGAGCCTGTGCCTCGAGCCACATGTGAGTTCCTATAAGATCCTGCTCTAAACCGGTGCCAGCACTTTCTCCCAACTGTCCAGCTGAGTGTGGCCCAGACAGTAAAAGGTCGGTGGCCTTCTATGGAGATGGAATTGTGGAACAGTGTCCACCAGTTCAGGGAGCATGGCACCCTTGGGCGACACATGCTTGAGCCCCAAGGGCCAATGAGGATGCTATTGTCCTCAACTTCTCCCCTGGAGAGAGGTCAGGCCTCCAGAAGTTTCTGTCAGCAACTGCATCACTCAAGGCAGCAGCCTTCCCCCTGGAAATCGGGAGTTTCATCTTTTCCTTTGGAAGCTCACAAGGAAATCTAGTCTCATTTTAAGCAAATGACAAAATAATCTGGGTAGTGATTCTGTTTCCCTAGCCCTTTCCTGCCCTTTGTTTCTTTCCAGGGCTCTCCAAGGCAGAGTCCCGTTACCTGCGGACCCGGGCCGCTTCCTCCCCGGTGATGACCATGTCCGAGACACCACGGCCACACTTCCTGGGGGTGCATCCTGGGGAGAGACAATGCCAGGTGAGCCAACCGATCCCTAAAGCTGGAGGTAGGGACAAGCCCACGTCAGGAAGGCAGCAGAGTTGTGTGGACTCAAGGAGTCCAGTGATGGACCGTTGCGGTATGAACAAGGGCCTGTGGTACCAGGGAGAGCCAGTAGGATCCGACTGAGGCACGAGGGCTACTACAAGCTGAACACACAGGTCACTAATCAAACGCTAAGTTCACACAAATGGCAGCCATAGTTTGCACACACCTTTAACCATACAGATGAAGACGTTCTAGAAGCTTTGGCACACCCCCAGCCCTCAAATGGCATGGTGGCATCGAGATGGAAGGACAGTGATGCTCCTGAACCATCACAAACTGCAGTCTGTCACTCACAGGTCCACCCATAACTTAACTATCACTGAGTCACTGCCCTTCCCCGGCCTGGAACAGGGACAGCCTATCCCACACTGAACAAGGGTGGAGATGGGTCACCTTCTGACTGCTGGAAAACTCTAAGGCCCAATCCTGTGTTCTTGTACTTGCAGTGACCCACACTCCTCCTTCCAGGTCACTGAATAATCCTAACACTATGTACATCACAACTACTCCCCCTGTGGAAAAGTCTGGCATTATGGTCTTGGTTCAAGTCCGAAGCATCAATTAAGAAACAAAATCCAACTGGACTTTTAAAAAGTCAGGCAGGGTTTTCTAAAGTGAAGAGGTGTTGAGGTCGTGGGGTTGTTCCGAGAAACAGAAGACAGCGCCACGCCCTTCTCTGACAGAGCAGATCTCTACAGGGTAGCAAACTTCAGCACCCTGGAGAGCGGCCAGCGGTGGTCAGTCACCTTCTGTGGCCTTGAAATCCAAAGGGGCAGCACCGCTGTGCAACCAGGCCCAGGCCTGGGGAAGCCCCTATGGACAGGCCTACACATAGGGTTAGGAACACCTGCACCTCCCACTAGGTCAGCGCTTTTTGGTGGTCAGCCTGAGCTGTGTACAGCCTTGTACCTTATAAAGGTGTACTTACAGGGAAGGCTTCGGCTTCCCTGGGACAGCAGCGCCATCTAGTGGCTATGTTGGGTAGTGTACACTAGGCACCCTCACAGAGGAGAAAGGTCACCTGTAAGCCATCCTCTTTCCCCCCGACACACACACACATACATACAGATACACACATTGAGACACACAGACAGACATAAACTGACACTCAGGCACATAGATATGTAGACAGGTACACACAGAAGCACACGCTCACACACCCCACACACCCAGGCTGTTGCAGCCCACTGTCTCCTTCCATCTTCCTGTGCTGCCCCTCTGGATCTCAGGGACCTGTTGTCACCATACCTTCAAACCTGCGGTGGCTGTCATAATCCTCAGAGCAGGGCACCTCAATGAACCTGCCCAGCAGGACCTCACTGCGGTGGGCAAGGGCCTCAGTGACGCCGTCATCACCCCCCATATGGCTCCAGACCAGGAGCACGCCCAGTGCGGCGCAGGCCCCCAGCACAGCGGTCTTCAGCCTCCTCCTCAGGGCCTCCTGCTGGACCCGGTCCTTCTTGGTGCTGAGGACGACACGGGCACAGCCGTTACCCCTGAGTTATGGTGCTGACGACACCAAGGTACCAGGTAGACCTGCATCCTGATTCTCATTAGTGCTGGGCTCTTACCAGACCTCTTGTCGCGGCCATACCCCCAGCACAGGTGTGCACATACGCCCCATATGTGTAGGACACACACAGAGCCAGGGCCAGAGAGGAAATCAGGTCTTTCTCTTCACCGTCCCCCAGTTCCCAGGGCAGGGCTCCAGGGTACCCATGCACTGTGATTTGTGGGGTGGTGGGCTACAGCAATGTATGCTCTATACATTTTCAGAGTAGTTCAGTCCCCAGCTCTGGTCCTCTAGACCTTGAGGGGGCCCAGCCCAGGGCCTGCTCCAGCAGCCTCTTCATGCTCCCAAAAGCAAAAACTAAACCCACTGCCACCAAGTCGATTCTGACTCATACTGACCCTATCTAGGGTTTCCAAGACTAAACATTTACAGGAACAGACTGCTTCACCCTTCTATGGAGCCACTGGTGGGTTTGAACTGCCGACCTTGCAGTTATCAGTCCAGCGCTTATCCTAGAGCCACCAAATCTGAACTGGAGTCCTTCTGTTCACAACAGGGGTGACCTTGTTTCTGAACAGGTTGGCTGGGAGCTAAGCATCACCCCAGTAGGCAGGAGAGCTGAGTAGACAATGGAGGACTCCGCCTGGCTAGGGGAGGGAAAGATGAGGGGCCTGCGGTGTGGCACCCGTAACTGCCCTCCTCAATCATTCCTCCAAAAGGGACGGACCTGTTAACAACGATGAGTCCACTTCACAACAGAGGACCCCACGATTGGCTAGCATGTGAACAGACCAAAGAAGCCATGTCCAGACCAATCGTTCAGAGCCTCCAGGAAGGGTCCGTCAAGTTCCCTACCTTTCCGTGTGTCTATCTGCATCTGGGTTGGACTCACGAAGGCCAAGCCTATAATAGGGCACGCCCACCAGAAACACCCCACTGCAAGCCTACACTGTCTATTCAAACACGCCCTAGCCATGCCCCTTGTGTGTACTGTGATTCCCACTCAAAGCGATCCTGCATAGGGTTTCCGAGGCTGTAAATCTTTACAGGGGCAGAAAGCCTCATCTTTCTCCCGCGGAACGGCTGGTAATTTCGAACTACTGACCTTGAGGTTATCAGCCCGACTCTTAACCTCTATGCTACCAGAACAAGCTCGCCCTTCCAGTCATGGCCACGCCCACATAGCTGCTCTGGCCCGTCATTTCCGGCCAGACCCCGCCTCGGCCCAACCCCTCCTCTAAAGGCCACGCCCACTCCTTTCTGGACCTTGCCACACCTACACCGCTGCACCGCCTTGCCACTCCCACTCAGGTTACACCCACCCAAGACCACTACCAAAGGGCTGCACCATTTCGTCCCTCCCAGAAAGGCTATGTCCCCTCAAGACCACGCCCATATCACTGCATGGCCTCGCCTCTCTAGGTCAGGCCCCTCCCCTCAAGACCACACCCCTCTCTGCTAGTCCCGCCCCCGCGCCCCACGCAGGCCCCGCCCTCTACCACTGCAGCACAAGCCTTCCTAGTGCTCGCCGCCACCTGCTCTGTCGCCGCCGCTCCGCTGCCCCGCTTCCCTCGGGCACTTTGGGTGCACCCCTCCGCTGGGGCGCCATCGGGCCAGGTGTTGGACTTGGGGACCGAGCGCCGTGAGAGGTGGCGCGCAAGGCGGGCGCGGTGCGGGGATGTGAGAGCGACAAGCTCGGCTGTCGCTCAGGGACTGGCGGCCAGGCCCGAGCAATCGGCGGCCGAGAGGCAGGGCGGGGCGGGGGCGGGGCCTCTGCGCTGGTCTCTAGGCCTGCAGGTGGCTGCGGACCTCGGGCACCACTGGCCTGGCTCTTCCCAGCAGCCCTGGGCCGCCTTAAGGCTCCAGCCACTGACAGTGGGAGCACCAGCTCTGACCATGGTCAGCTCAGTGCTCGGAGCTCTGACCAGCTGACCTTCCTGCTGCTCTGTGCATGACCCATCAGTCTACCAGAACCTTTCCCTGGTCCAGAGTCTTAAGATTCTTAGTGAAGGAGTTCCAAATCCTGGCGGATGAAGTCTGGTCAGGTAAAGGAGTGATAGACTGAAATAAAGATCTACTTAGCAATTCTGTAACTGCAGAAATAAGTGCCGAATCACATACCCCTCAGAGACCCCTTGGCAAGCAAACTTCCAGAACTGCCAGTTAGTCTGGGAAAACAAGGGGACAGTACACCCAAATCCTCCAAATAATTTAACGTCTGTTTAGCTCACGCAGGAGGGAATCAAAGTAAGGGATTGGCACATCCATGAGGAAATTGATGACCGACTCCCTCTTTCTTTTTCCGTAGACAGATGTACAGGAACATGTGTTGGTAAGAATTCTGAATGTTATCTGTTGCAGGTAAGATGTAGACATTCTCTTTTTATGTCAGTATTAATTGAAGGCTTTCTCTCTGAATGTGAGGAGGAGCCAGGGAGGTGCACACCAGACCACTGTGGATTTCTCAGCTCAGAGTTGCTTCTTTAAAATTGATTCCCAGGGAAATAGCTTTAGGTTGTAAGATTATGAAACAGTGGTGTTTTAAAAGCACCCGTTTCTCAGAATTAATTTTTCAAAACATTCAGCCGCCCCTCAACTGTTAACATAGGTGATTATTGTCTTGAGACTGCGTAGTTGAGATTGCCTTTTATGTAATTTCTTTTGAAAACTTAAAATGGAAGCATCTAGTTTAGTGTTTTGCTGCTGAACGAAATCCACCAGGCACTTTGAGAGAAAAGACTTAGCGATCTGCTTACATCAAGATTTCTGCCTGGGAAACCCTGTGGGGCAAGTCTCCTGTCTTCTGTGGGGTTACTATGGTCTGCATTGAGTCAACAGCTCATAACAACAACAACAACCATTCCATAGGATTCTGAGTGGTGCAGAGGGCTTGTGCTCAATACCAACCTGAAAGTTGGCAGGTTGAGCCTTCCCAGTGGCATCACAATCTACTTCCATGAAGATTACAGCCAAGGAAACCCCGCGGAGCAGTTCTACTACGTAACATGTGGGAGGGGGGGAGCCCTGAGTTGGACCCAACTTGACAGCGGTGGGCCTGGGTTTTTCTGTTTCCTGTGTTAGGGATATCTTAAAGTCATCTGGTATGGCACTGCAGGCTCAGCACTGGACCAATAACTGCCACATTGGCAGTTCAAACCCACCAGCTGCTCCTCAGTAACCCCATACAGGGTCTCTATGAGTCGGAACCGAGCCCACAGTACTTAACAACAACAAGGTCATCTGAGCTTCCTTACACAGAATGGTGGTGATGGTGGTGTGCCGTGGAGTCGGTTCCGACTCATAGCGACTCTTACAGGGTTTCTGAGGCTGTAAATCTTTACGGGAGCAGAAAGCCTCATCTTTCTCCTGGGGAACGGCTGGTAGATTTGAACTGCTGACTGTGAGATTAGCAGCCTGACTCGTAACCACTCTGCTAACAGAGTTCCTATACACAGAATGAGTAGATTAAATGATTGAACTGAAAAGATGGCTAATGCACAGAGATTTTTTTTTTTTTCCTTTACAGAAAAAGGTTAAGATTGTCCTGTTTCTCAGCTGTTGTATTATCATCCCGGTATTTCCTTCCGTTTAATGTAAACATCAGTCAACTCTGACGTTACTTATGGTTCATCCATGTTATAAATTACTGTTGTCTGATTTGAAATCCTAGATACTTTTCTCTGACCTAAAAGTAAATCATGCAATTCCTCCACCCACCACATAAACAAGCTGATCTGAGCACTAGAAATGCAAGTTAATTATAATGTTATCCAAAATGAAAAACAATCAATTTTCTACAGAAAAAAGTCATGGGGCTTGGAACTGTGACTATTTTCACTGACAGAGTTTATATAGTTTAAGTGGATCTTGAAAACAAAAATTAATTTGCCATCATTTGTGTTATTAAACATTATAGCTCTCTCAGAAGAGAATCATTGTTCTATTTTAAGGGCAACTCATCATTAAATGGCATGTTGTTAAGCGCTATGGAGTCGGTTCTGACTCATAGCGACCCTGTATAGGGTTTCTGAGGCTGTAAATCTTTACGGGAACACAAAGTCTCATCTTTCTCCTATGGAGCAGCTTCCAGACTCGAACCTTTGACCCTGTGGTTCACAGTCCAGTGCTTATTGTATGGAGCCACCATGCTTCCATTAAACGGCATGTTGTTGTTGTCAGGTGCTGTCGAGTCAGAACCGACTCATAGCAACCCCATGCACAGCAGAACAAAACAATGTCCGATCCTGGGCCAACCTCACTACCGCAGCCACACTTGACGCCATCAATGATGTCACCTGGCTGATCCATCTCATTGGGGGTCTTCCTCTTTTTCTCTGACCCTCCATCTTACCCAACATGACATCCTTCTCCAGTGACTGTTCCCTCCTGACAATATGTCCAAAATAAAACGGCATAGGTCCCTATATTTGTGCATGCAAAGAGACTTCCTGATTCATTATCATTTTAGTAAAATTAGTTTCCTCCTGGTTTATGAAACCAAACTAGCCAGTATCAGAACTGAAACAAAAAGTGGTAGGGGAAAGAAACTTCTGCCCCTGTTAATAACTCTGAATTTCTCCACCAGGAGGAAGTGCCCAGACAAGACGTTCCTAGGATAGGAGTTCCCAGACAACACTGAAATGTCAGGCTCCTCACCCTTTAAGATGCGTGTAGTTCATCTGGACCTAAAAGGAGCACCACCAAGAGTCTCATACCTCTCGGAGGTAAGGGTCCCCTGGCCCTCGAGAGAATCATCTCTTGCCTTGGATTCAGGCGTTGAAGTTTTTGAACAGTATTCTGTAGAAATGCATGCTTAGGGTGCAGCCTTGGAATTATAAGTTGGTAAAAGATGGGAGCAGGAGCATACGATTTTAATTTCCCCAAATTCATTCAGTAAAACAGTGCCACCTGAGTATGAAAATGAAAAGAAAAAAAAAAGCCTACAACCTCCTCAACAAGACTAGGTTCTGGAGTGTGTTCATGAATTCCTCATGAATACAAGTGGGCGGTGGCAAACCACAGGCAGTAGAACACCCATGTTTCCACAGCTTTTCCAGAGGCAGTAGAAAAAAGAGAAAGGGAAATTCCAACAGTGCAAAGATCACAGCAGAAGAAGATAGTCCCGAAAACAAAGGCTTCCTCTCAGAAAGAAGATGGGGAAAGGTTTCAGAGGCTCAATTGAAGGAGAGCACAAAAAGATACTGGGAAGAGAATCCACATGGAACTGGGCAGTAAGGGGAGAGAAATTTCCGATCCTGGGGAAAGGGAGGCAGAGAGAGCAGATATAAAGGGTTACAGTTATAAAGGCGTCTACACAGTTGCTTATTTGTAATGTTGCATGGCAACAATGTAAAAGTTGCTTATTTGTAATGTTGCATTGCAACAATGTAAAAATCCGCTGTGGGGCTGGCCCATCTCCCAAATATAAGGTCATGTTCTTAAAAATACCAGAGAAGCATTTCATTTTTAAATGAGTGACCATAAAGGATTATAGTTAAGCTCCAACAAAGAGTTTCATCAAAATGAAAGAACTAAAAGACCTCGAAAAAGTAGAATTCTCTGCATAACACTAACAGGAATGGCGACCACAGAGCAGTTAAAACAGCCCCACAGCATTTCAAAATGAGATCAAAGGTTTGAGGAAAGTCAATAGAACAGCAGTGAAAAAGCACAAATGGGAAGCAGAAAATCTCAGGAATGGGATCCCTAAACAGCAGAAGGATGTGAAAAACTTGCTGATGGAATTTAGGAATCATTTATAAATAAAAAGAAACATTTTTCAGAAATGAAGATTAAACTAAAAAAAGCACAAAAGTGAATACAACCTGTGGAAAGTACAGTATTGTGAAATAAATAACTAAAAGAAAAAGAAAAAAACACCAAGCTTGAAAACAAAACAAAACTAGATGAGAAATTGACAGCTATTAAAGCTATTCATGGAGACCTGGTGTGGCGCTAATGTGTCAGTCTGCAAAGTTGTTTGAACTGCAAGGTTGGTGGTTCAAGCTCACCAGCTACTCTTTGGAAACCCTATACAGGGTTGCTATGGGTCAGAAACGACACAACGGCACTTCACAAAGCTTAGGCATTACCAGAGTCCTGCTAGACAACAGAGCTCTCCAGGCGCTGAGACAGCTGCAGTTCCTCAGCTCTTGGTGACCGCTCCCACCTGGGCTCCCTCGTGTGCCCGGAGTCGTGTGCCAGCTAGAAATGCCTGCTGTTCAGCACCCTTTCAGCATGGTAGTCTCAGGCCCAAAGGATTGGGACATCTCAACACACACGTGTCACTTCACCACTTACTAGTCATACAGAAAGTCCCAAAGTCAGCCCTGGTGTGATGCTGTAGGATTAGCCCTGGACTGCTAACCACAGGGTCGGCAGTTCAAACCTACCAGCTGCTCCTTAGAAACCCAATGCAGGGTTGCTGTGAGTTTTAACTGACTCAAGAGCTCTCAACAACAAGGTACTCCTAGATCCAAGCTCCAGCCTTTGATGGGAGAAGTTTTACAAAGCACTGTGAGGTAACACCACCCCCAAAGCAATGGTGCAGAACACGTGCTTAGAAACTTCCATTCAAATGGACCTTTCTCGCGTTCTCTTCCTTTCTTCGCCATCGTGTGAGTGCGGCTATGTTCCATCTTCACTGTCTTCTCGTAAGTATTTCAGGAGCCAGAGATTCCTGGCCGAGAAACAAAAACAGAATCATCCCACTCCCCAGTGGATGTGAATGAAAACTGGTTATAAAATCAAATACAACTCCAAGAGAAGACCGGGGAGAAGAGCCATGCTGGGTCTCTAAGGAGTCGCACACGTCATGACACAACACATGATATCCTAGCACTCTACCATAGCAAGTTCGATTTTGCCAAGATTTGATCAACTGAACATGTTTTACAAAACTTCTGGTTTCTTCCTTTATTTTTATGCTTCTGCTTTTAAAGAGGTTGGCTAATAAATATGTGGGCATCCTGGTATGGCACTGTTGGTGAATGCGCTAGACTGCAAAGTCATTTGAACTGCAAGGTCGGCGATACAAGCTTACCAGCTGCTCCTCGGAAACCCTATACAGGGTCACTATGGATCGGAACTGACTTGACAGCACTTAACAACAACAACAATAAATATGTGAGACCTTTGGTTTGGAAAAAAAACCAGAAAGCCTTCTCTAAAATAAAAGATTGCTTGAATATACACCTTAAAAGCACATACCACAAACCTAGGAAACTAGAAATATATACACCATCACGCCCTCTACTAAACATATCAAACTTAGAAGATGAAAAAATATTGGGTCTCCAGGAAAAAGACCTAAAAGACATTTGTACAAGAAGCAACATTCCATGACAGGAGATGATGGAGTAACGTTTAAAATAGTAAAAAAAAAAAAAAAGAAAGAAAGCTCTCTTGCCCCAGGTACAAGTATATAGATAGGAAAAGCAGGGGAAAGACAAACCAAAGTGTTCACTGCCATGTTGGAATCATCGATGGCTCTCGTAGTCTCTTCACTGTTTTATTTTTCTTCCTCCAATGCCATGCATCTCTGTACACTAAAGAGAACATCTCCACTTGGTGTCTGCAGCTGTTTGCCTTCCAGTGGTCCCTGCTTCATTATGCCCTCCTTTGTTCCTTCCCAGATTTTTCCTCTGTTCCATGCTCTGGGTGCAAACGCCCTTCTTATTGAGTATGAAGACATGTTTCCCTACGAGGGCCACCTAAAGCTGCTGAGGGCCAAGCACGCGTACAGGTATCTACAAGACAATCTCCTCCTTACAGAGAACCAAGTGAGGATTCGTGTTATGGGCGGGCAGGGCAGTGAGGATCCAATAACGCTGGGAACATTTCCTTTTCTGTCTGCAGTTATGAGGGGGCTTCAAAAAGTTCATGGGGGAAATTACATTGTTTCCCCCAGAAAACTTTTGAAGCCCCCTTAGACAGTTTGTTGTTTTGTTTTTTAAGTAATACTAAAACATGTTTAATGATGAAAATTTGGAAAAGTATGAAAAAGAAAATCAGCTTTGGTAATGATCCTACCACGAAGCAAAGCTGCGATCCGTGTTTGAGGGAGCCCTTTCCAGTGTTTCTCACCTGTACGTAGGAAGTGTGTGGGCAGTGCTTAGACAGTGACCACAGGCATGGCCGGGCAGCTGGTCGTTAAGGCCACAGTCAGGCTCTTCAGCCAGGAAAGTGACAAAAGGAGAGAAGATCTTACATCAGTAAAGTTGTGGTGCACGCCCCTAGTTTTAACATCACGTGACTGTCTCCATGTAAATCTGCAGCAATAGCTTTTTTTAAAAGGACCAGCACGAGGTCAGTTTGTATGAAGTGGACTTTAAAGACACCCCAAATGTCCAACTTTCCTAAAGTGCTCTGTTGAAAATTTTTAGTGTTGTCGAATCGGTTCTGACTCTTAGTAACCCTGTCTTGAGGTTTCTAAGGAGTGGCTGGTGAGTTTGAACAGCCAACCTTGTGGTTAGCAGTCCTGCGCTGATGCTACAGTGCCACACCAGGACTTACCACTCCATAATCCCTGACGTCAACCGCTCCTCCTCCCCTCGGTCCTCTCCCCCACATCCCAGGGTTCCACAGTTCAACTGCAACAGCACACAGAACTCACGGCCCTCAAGAAAGTGGCTCGCACAGTGGTGGGGGGCAAGTCCCTAGTCCAGTGTTCAGATTGTCCTCACACACGCCAAATCAGGCTGTTGACCCACAAACTGTGGAATCTGGTCCGGGCCACTGGCTCGAGAACCAGAGGTCAGACGGAGGCGAGCTCATGTAGTCCAGCAAAGGGATGCAGCGCCCACTCACCTCACCAGATGGCTCACGGTACACCCAGCAAGAGGACAAAACTGACCTAGTGCCTGGTCTTAACCGTCACAACTCACAGTTGACCCAGATCATCCTGTCAGCATTTCCCCTCCTCCTCTGACCCAGACCCATCAGGAAAAAGTCAGTTAGTGGGAGGGACAAAGCCATGGCTGGAAAAGACATTAAATGGTTCACTGCGCAGCAAAGTCAATAACCAGAAGTAAAATGGGGAAGGCCTGACTGGGAGGACTCTGA